TGATTCTATGGACTTCTATGATACCCAGCGCCATCCCTAGGGGACATAGGGCCTGGGGCAACATCTCCCCACCCCAGGGGCAGGGCAACCCCTACCTCCCGCCCCACCTCACCGCTTCCCCAAGTCCCACCCCTGCTCCACCTCCACTGTGCTTCTTCCTGCCCCTGTTCTGCCCCCTCTAACTTCCATTGCATTGATTCTCTGAAGCCTCCTCCCCTGAGACACGCAACCCAGGGAATTACCAGGGGTCCTGGTGCAGGGGGACAACAGGCATCACCCCCCCAACACCGCACTCACAGTGGTGGCAGGAAGCAGAGTGGCCAAGCCCCAGCCTGCTCTGCATCTCTCAGGAGAGTGGAGCACGCTTGGGCCTGGCCACAGTGTTCCGCTTCCCATTACTACAGTGAAGAGAGTGACCCTGCAGATATTTTCTGTCTTACTATCCACCTCTTTCCTAATGGTTCCTAAAATTCTGTTAGTTTTTTGACTGCAGCTGCACCTTGAACTTATATTTTCAGAAAACTAGCCACAATTACTTCAAGATTAGGGATGTTAAATTTCGATTAATCAACTAATCGAGTAGTTGATAAGGGGGCACTCGCTATCCCACTGCCTCTCTCCTCTCCTGAAATGTACACTGAATTTCATCTGCCATTTTGTTGCACACTTGCCCAGTTTACTGAGTTTCCTTTGGAAGCTCTTCACAGTCTTCTTTGGATTCATCTACCTTGAAGAATTTTTTTTATCAACTTCAAATTCTGCAACCTGGCTGTTGACCAATTTTTTTCAGGTCAGTTATGAATATGTTATGAATATGTTGAACAGTAGTGGTCTCATTGCAGATTCCTCTGGGGGTGGGGGCATGGCAATTTGCCTCTCTCCATTCAGAAAACTGACCATTTATTCTTTGTTCACTTTTTAACAATTAGTTATCCATGAGAGGACCTTGTTTTTTATCCCATGACTGCTTACTTTGCTTAAGAGCCTTTGCTGTAGCACCTTGTCAAAAGCTTTCTGAAAGTCCAAGTACTCTATATTCACTGGATCACCTTTTGTCCACATGCTTGTTGACCCCCTCAAAGAATTATAATATATTGCTGAGGCATAATTTCTTTTACAAAAGCCATGTTGACACTTCCCCCAATTAAACATGATCAATTATGTGATTGGGAATTCTGTTCTTTACTATAATTTCACCTGATATTGAATACAAAACAGAAGAGCTTAAACTAGAGAGATTGGGAGAGGTCCACATCAGAATACCCCATTGCCCAGAACTTCCAGAAGACTGTTCACCAGCATTTCAAGCCACACAGCAAAGGCATATATTGAACCATGAACAATATGCTGATGACACAAATTAATGGAGAGATAGAAAACAAACAGGGGGGAAAACTATACTGCAAAAACACCTAGAGAGAGAGAGTAAACCAGTTGGATTCATTCTTTAGAAAATAGTTAACAGAATGCCAAGAGACATAACTTTAATGTACTGTACTCAAATTAGTTCTCATAAAACAAACACACAAGTAACTTTATGTAAATAGTACTTCTGAATTCAATGACACTATTCACGAGAGTAAAATTAGCAGATGCATAAGGTGTTTGCAAGCTCAGGACTTCACCTTATAAGGTCTTTGGGACAGGGTATATCTTTTAATATGTGATTGTACAGCAACTATGGAGGTTCATACCTTCCACTCAAAATATCCCATTTTTATTCAATTAAATGGGGGAAACAGAGACATAGGGAAGAAAATCAACATTCAGATGATTTTGAATACTTCAATTTTTGGGAGTCAAGTTTGAGTCATTATAGTCCTTATTTTTAGAAGTAATTCGAGAGTAATTAGAAGTAAACAAGTAATTTGAACTGAAGTTAATGAGAAGTGTTGTTGTGCCAAGTAATCTCAATTTGACCCAAATGCTCTCAAGCTGGCTTTCCAAATAAGCAAAAACAACTCAAACTCGCTGGCCACTTTTGAAAAATAGGCTGTTTCTGGTAAGTCAACAACAAAGCTAGATATAAAAAAAATGTAAGTTGCTCTATGCAATTAGGTATCAACCTCTGACTCCTACTCACACTATTTTACTTTACAAGTAGCTCCAAACAGGACTATTCACAAGATAAAACACTACTCAAATGTAACCAAAGTATCTGCATCTGACCCTGACTTGCAAAAGCAATGCACCAGAAGTCACTACATTTTTTGTGCACTATCCTTTTAGAACTCTATCCTCTGGATTCTGTAACCTTGGCAAGAAAATGTTTTACAAATGTAAAACTTCTGCTGAAAGAGGTTTCCTCTGAACTATTTTTATTGGTCTTTTGACATCCTTAAAGCTAAGGGCACACAGAGCCTTTTTCCATCCTCCAGCACGCTCCTAAGTGCAGGCCATAACACAACAAATGATGTTAAGAGAATATTTCCTTCCCACTTTATGAACGAATGAATATTATGGTCTTTTCCTATTTTGCTTTCCTCAGAAAAAACACATACATACCAGTTGTTATTTTTCTTCTGACTTCTTTGCTGAGTTAATACACAGACTAGAAGGATTATTAAATAAGGTAGAAAATAATAAAATAATGTAGTTCATAACAACAAAACTGGTATTGCTTTGAAAAGCCTAGAATTCCAAAACAAGGCTTGTGTGTGTGACATTTATGAATAGACACTCTAAAATAAATATATAACGGGGTACATAAGTTTTCACAAAGGTTCAGATTTGCATTAGTGGCATATTTAATACTCACCCTTCTTAGAGCTACAGTATCAATTGTTCCAAGGACAACAGACTTGCTGCTATTTTTAACAAAGGCCTCAGTACAACTGTTTAGCTCATAAAATCTCACAACAGCAATAGCTTAAACCCTGCTCTGCGTGAACATGTTCTTCCCAGTTTTGCCAACCTTCCTAGACAATGAATGTTTTTTCAAAATCCCATGATACTCTAAAGAGGTTACTAACAAGGGGCAGACATGTCAAATTTGTTACAGATCTGGCCTGTTTTCAAGGCTTCCAAAATGCAGCTGATACAACTAATGCATCAGCCATGCCTGACCTGTAGGTATTTCTGGAAATGACAAATGACATCTTATGAAGGTTCAATAACTGTGACCTGATAATTCATGAAGATACTAACACATTCTTTCATAAACATGTTCACATAAAGATGTAAATGCATGCTGTCCCAAGTAAACCCACATTGAGACTGACTGACACCCATTCTACTCACTCACACACATGCAACTTATTTCTGTCAAGGGATTACTTATTAAGAGTGAACTCTTTGAAACACTCACATAGGAAAACAACTTTGCTACCAAAGTCCAGCACCACCAGTTCTCAAACATCTTCCATTGCACTTCTCAAAAACTTTTAAGGGGACCTTATGTATAATGTGCAGAATAAAACTAATGAAAACAGGCATACTTTGTGTTTTATTCCTTTAGGAGGGGATTTTAAAAGGCACATGGGAAAATTAGGCTCTCGACTTTCAATAGGAGTTAGGTTCCTTTATCCCGTTTGTGTCTTTGGAAATCTCTTCTTTATACTACACATTTAAATACATAATCACAAAGGAATTTTTCATTTTTGTAGGCCAGTTATTTCTAAAACATGTCATTTCTAGACATTAGGGATAATGACAGTGGTGAGGTCTGGGGTGTCTTTTCCTAAACAGGTGAACTTCAGAGATATTCCTAAATCAGGCAGAAGGCAAGTTTGATTTAGATAAGAGTATCATTCAGTCTACAGTCTTGTTGAGTAAAACAATGACACGTGACTAAGTAGATTAGTACTACTTTTATCCTCTCTGTTTCTGATTTGCAAAACTCCTCTCCTACACAATCAGGATTCAACAACTTTCACAGGATAAGGTGTCTGTGGTGTGTTGGTCTTCACCTCCATCACAAGAATGGCCAAAAAACTTGGTAATATCTATCCTTATGATTCACTATTTGACAGGAAGAGTCACATAATTGCTTCACTGCACTGTACAACACTAGAATATTTTATAAGGAGTACAGTGGACACTAGCTGAGCCTAAGTCTTGCTGCACAATCCCTTCCTTCAGAAAACAGATTTAGGACAGAGCTACACTAGAAGTTCTGTATCAGCATAGCTGCACCAATATAGCTGCACAACCAAAGATGATCTCTCATGTCCAGATAATTAATCCACTTCCATGACACTAGGAGCAGCACACAGTTTACTGTAATTTGTGTCTCGCCAGGGGTTGGCTTTTTCACAGTTACACTAGATCGATTTAAACAGTAGTGCAGACCTGCTCTTAGTTTTTTTTATTTGTGCATCTCCAACAGACTTCAAATGTAGATATAGACCTGCTTGGAAATCTGAGACATTATGTGAGGACCCCCCAGGGGCCTATTGTAACAACCACCTTTCAGACCACCATAGTCTGAGGACCCCCCCCCCCCCCCGGGGTGGGGGGTTCTACGGAACACAGACTGAAAACCAATGTTCTAGCACTAGCATCCAGAGACCTGGAATCAGTCTTGAACAGCAATCCCTTCCTCTACAACAGCCCCCCTCCTCCTGCTGGAAGAGAAAAATACCCGCGTCTCCGTCTCCAGCCATACACCACCACAAAACAGCCCCCTGTTTCTACCTAAGGTCTAACATCACTGCAATCAGCACATGTTCCACCGCTAGGAACCCGGACAGCAGCAGCCCTGGCCATGCCTCTGATCACATCCGCAGCTGGTCTGCGTGTGTGTGCTCCTGACCCCCTCCAGCCCCAGTTCCCTACTTCCCCAGCCAGAGAGGGAGTTGACTCCCCCCCCGCCCCTCCACAACCACGGCGGGATCGTCTCAAAGTGCCCCTTTCCCTCCCCAATGCTGAGCGACTCAATCCCCACCCACAGCAGCGTAGGGCCAGTTCCTAGCACCCCCTCCCCCGGGCTGGGGCAGGTTTCTAAGTGCCGCCACAGGGCTGGGATGGTTTCTAGCACCGCTCCCCCTCGACCACGGTACCTTATGCGGGGCTCTGAGCAGGCGGTGCACCCCGGCCAGCTGGGTGATGAGCGCGATGTCCTCCCTGAAGGTGTAGAGAGGGGGCCGGGTGGGCTCCGGGAAGTTGGTGCTATTGAAGGGGTCGGTGTCATCTAAGAACTGCACCCTGCAGAGCAGCCTGGCCATGGTGCATCCATGCACAACACGGCGGCGGCGGCGGCAAAGCGAGGGGTGGGGGAGGCCGGGCAGGAGGCGCCCCCTCCTCCCGGAGCAAGAACTAAAAGTTGGAGCCCAGCAGCGGGGCTATCGCGAGCCGCCCGCCGCGGCAGGTTGGCGGAGATCAGGCTCGTCTCCCGGCGAGGCTGCAAAGCGAAGGGGGGGGGGGGTGCCGCAGGAGAAGCACCGGCCGCAAGATGCACGCAGCCCGGCTGCTTCCGAGCGCTAGCACGCGGGGCTCATCGCCCCCTCCCCGCCCGGCTCCACACGCTGCGGCCGCCAGTCAGGCAAGGGTAGGGCAGAGCCCCGGGGCGGAGCGGCCGGCGGGCGAAGTGCGCGGGCAGCCGGAGAGCAGCGGCGCAGGCAGCTGCTCCCCCATGCTCCGCCTGAGCCGCTGCACCGAGCCGGGGCTGCTGCCTGTGGGAAACCCTGGCCGGGTTAGTCCTCAGCCGGAGCCGCAGGGCAGCAGGCGCCCCCCAGCGGGCGCAGGGAGGAGCGACACCCGGCCGCTACATTCCCCTGCTTGGGGAGAAAGGCAGGCGCCTGTCCCAGTCAGGGACACTGGGGCGAGGGACACCCGGGCCGTCAGGATTTCCCGCCTACAGGAGGACAGAGAGGGGGAAACTCCCGGCCTCCTTTTCCCCGGAGAGCTCAGCAGGATGAAAAGCCCCCGGCTGAGGGAACAACACGCCTCCTGCCCCATCTCTCTAGGAGTGGAAGAGCCTCACCCAGGGATGCCGCACACTGTGGCAAATGAAAGAAAAGCATTCCACCCCCCTCCCCCCACTACTCCTAAGGAAAAGGAGAGAAAGGGACCCCACCCCCGAGATCCATTGTCCAGCAACCCCAAATCATCAGGGCTGGGAAAACTGGGGGGAGAGGGGAAGAGAGAGACCCCCCTCTTGGAGAACCTTCAGGGGAGTGAGAAAGAGACCATTTCACCACACCCAAATCTCCAGGCGGACCTTGACAATCTCCTTGTCATCCCTCTCCTGGCACCACCTACCTATCAATCTAGAGGTGAGGCCGATTAAGGCAATCCACTGCCCCAGGCACAGTACAACATGTCTGGCTGGTATAGCAGTGGGCGCCAGTGCCACACAGGAGCCATCAACTGGGAAACAAATTATTAAAAAAAAACCATATTTTGCTGCTTTCTATTACTTAAAATAACCTGTGCTGCTGCTTAAAATCTTTAGCATAACATTTATTAAATGAAGGGAATTTAAAATAAAGTCAGGGAGTTGGCCTAAACAGAATGTAATACAAAGAATCAACATTTGGATGACTTTTTTTCTTGTTTATATAAAGCCCATGTTTATATGTTTTTTTAATCAATGCTCTTTTTTTTCCTACACAGAAAAAATAAAAGGGCACACTTATGTATTTCTTTGCCTTTTCCCCTAATACCTGCACCAGAAAATATCCACAGAAAAGAAAATTTCCATCATGGTCAGAGTATAGAAAGGCCCCAGATTTCTGGCATCACTTAGTGCGTTGCAGAATAAGGGCAAATCTATGCTGTGCTTTTCACTCATGAGAAGAAAAATGGGCTGGTGGTTATGGCAGTAGCATAGGCAGTGAGATGCTTGAGTTTGGTTCCTAAGTTCCTGACAGTGCCACAGTCTGTCCCTATCTTTTATACAGTACTAGGGTAGGGGTGAGGAACCTCCTGCCCATTGCGGGTGTGTGAACTGGATGCCAATGCTTGGAGACTTGACACCAGATTGGAGCATGAACAATACCTCACCCTAGCCCACCTGGAGGTGGGAGGAGAAGGAGAAAGCCCTGAGCTCCACCAGATTGGATCTAAGTAAGGCAGGGGCCAGATCCAGCCCATAGATTGTAGATGCCTTCCTCCTCCCCCCCCCCCCCCCCCCCGTGCTGTCCTCTCCTCTCCAGATCTCCTCTGCTAAAATTGCCTCCTTTGCGTGTATCACTGACTCTCTCCACGAATAAAAGTCTCAGAGGAGTTGCCATGTTATATCATTCTATGAATGGGGCTCTGGCAACCATACTCCCATCATGCATTTGCAAGAGAGAGTTAAGCAATATGTTACCCTAATGCAATCATGCATTACCTCTTTTGATTTCAGAGAGAATTGCTGAAATACATGGTGTTTCCACCTTTAATGCACTTTCATGCATTTGAATGTAATAGGCATTCAAAACCATACAGAAGACATGAAAAAGTTAATGATGATGAAAATATTCATGTTGCTGCTATATAATCAATAAAGTTTTCTGACAAAGTATATCTATTGCAGGTTTGACTACTTGAGAAAGGAACATAGGAACAGCTGGTGGAAATCTGATGTTTATTTATAAGACACTCAGATAAAGAGATATGTAAGTGCATGGAATGAACATGCATACTTAGTTGAATTTGTGTTACCATCAAGTTGTGGAGGGAGGAGTTAAGGATTGTCAGTGTTTACTATCCTGATGACAGTGCAACTGATAAAGAAAATCTTGTGATAACACTGGAAAACTGTAGCCAAACAATTATGTGTGGAGATTTCAATACCAATAGTGAAAGTTTTGGAGAACAAAATGATTGATTTCAATGGAACTTTGCTAGAGGACTTTATCACTGACCATGATTTAGTTGTCTTGAATAATGGCACCGTAATATACACATTCAGATCATATGGCACATAAATGACGTTAGATGTAACTCTGGTGAGCAGCAGCATGTCCATGAGCTGTGAATGGAATGTATTTCAGGATGTTGGAAGTGACTATCAATCAATAAGCACTTGTTGGGATAGGAAGACTGAGCTCTCTGTTAAGAAGTGGAACTTTCATAAGATAGACTCACCGTATTTCATAGGTACACTTGAGAATAATATTTCTCTAACACCTATGAAACGTAACATTGATGAAGATCTTACAGCTTTATTAATTTGCTATGCAACAAACAATCAGCAAAAAAAAATCTCAAAAAGGAAGAGGAAGAAATGGGTTTCACAGTATATTGTTACTGACATAAAAATCATATTAAAGAAAGATATTGTGTTTGATCCAAGACTGAACAGAACCTCAGAGATGAAGAGTCTAGACAAAAATAGAACAGTCTCAAAAAAGGTAAAGTTTTGGGAAGAGACGTGGGAAAGGCTAGATCCTCACAGATGAAAAAGACATTTATGAATGATACTGAAGTGAATTGAGCACAGACAGACTGAGGCTTGCAATTTTAAAATACACTACTACAGTAAAACTCTGATGGTCTGGCATCTAATGGTCCGGCACTCCTGATGGTCCGGCACCATCAGGAATCCAGAAGTGCTCTGGGCAGCCGGACCATTGGAGCTGCTCTGCCCCTAGCTTCCCGGATTCAGCCGCTGCTAAAACTGACCAGTGGCTGAATAGGGAAAGCCGGGGG